AAGAGGAAGCAGAAAGTATGCTAGAGTCAGGGGGAGTAGATGGAGGCCACCAAGAAAACAAGGCCCTACAAACAATATGAGCAAAACTCATACGAACTCACAGAGACTGAGGCAGCATGAACAGGGTCTGCACAGATCTGCACCAGCTCATCTGTGTATATATTGTGGTTGCCAGTGTATTGTTTTTATGGATTCCAGAGTACTAAGGAGTGCCTGCTGTTGGGATTTTTCTTTCTGTTGGTCTGTCTTGTCCAACTTTGATGTGACAGTTTTGTTTTATATTATTACATTTTATTTTACTATTTGTTTTAAAATGAATGAACGAATGAATGATTGAATACCTCGTCATTAGGGCATAGGTTAACAACTGAAGTGTCATTTATACCTTCTGGGAGAGGGTGGGAGAGGGAAAATCAGTTTTCTCCAATGGCGTGACATTGGGTATCAACCACGTGAGGGAAGGCCTCGTGTTCAGGAGTAGTTGGCCAACATGTAATGAAAGCCACAGTTTTTTGTATGTGTGCTTTTATTTGGTTACAGTTTTGTTTGGGATTTTTTTTTAATTGTTTTTGTTCTTGTTTTCCTCTTTTTGGATGATGTCTTACTTTGTTTTCTTGATTGGGGGATTTTGCTGTTATATTGGGTTTTTGTTTGTTTGAGAAAGTATTTAAGTTGGGTGGGTAAGGAGAGAAGGAGGATCTGTCAGGACTTGGGGAAAGGGAAGAATATGATCATAATGCATTTGAATTTAAAATTGTTTTAAGGAACAAAAAAAGTATAATAAAAGAAGAATTTTCAGTGAGTAGCTATGCACACCAGTGGCTATAATAGACTAAAAATGAATAAATGACTATCTTTTGTTGTCTGCACTTGTTCCTGATGAGCTGCCACAGTTTACTATTCTACCAAGAGAGTGTATTGAGCTATATAGAATCTGCTTGCTCTGGCCCCGTGGCACACAGGAAACTCTAAACTTATTGTGCCCAAACTCTGAACCCCTCAAATCACCAAGAGACCTAATCTGATGCAAAAGCAAAGAGTCTTTAATTTTACAAATTAACTCAGGTCCCCCATCCATCAGATACAGTGGGTGGAGTAGGAGGGACCCCAAGCAGCAGTGGGGCAGGGCATATATTGGGGTAGAGCAAGGGGAATGTCTGGGGGGTCTGCTAGTTGCATAGCAACAGTTTCAGGATTGGTGCACCTACGGGCTTGGGCAACCTGTCCTGTGTTGATTGGTCAGCTGCAGGAAGGTTGCTCTGCCTAGAGGCCCTTCCAGGGCAATGCTACATTCTGAATTCTATTGTTATCAGTAATTCCTATCCAGAGCCTGCCAGCTAACTTCTGATTGGTTCCTTACCACAATGGAGGGTTTCTGGCTTCCTAGTGACTATGGCAAAGTCAGGCAAGGTCGGGGGCTCAGCATGTGTCACTGAGTCAGAGGCGCACATCTTGTTGGGTCTTTTCTGCAGCCTGTCATGGCTGCCAAGACAGGAGGCTGGGTGAGGGTTTGGGCCCTTCAATCTAAGTTCTGCTCCTAGTGATGGATGTCTCACCCTTCCTGTTGCTGAGCATTGAGTCCCACTCACTGAAAGCCACCATTAGCCCTTGGAAACAGAAGAGATCATACCCTTCAGGGACCATCTCAAGGGCACTACAACTGCAACACATTCACATAGATTCTTTGTATGCATGCCTTACTTAGCACAATGACAGCTGTGTCCCAGCAACTTGTTCTCTCTGGTTTGGGATCCCTTTGCTTCTCACTGGTATTTGGTGGCTTTCTGATGGATTATATGAAGTGTTTACTTCATTATATGATGTTAGGACCACTGTAAGAGCATATGCTAATATGTAGGCATTGTGTGAAATGCTGAGTTTAGATATGGATCAGTTCCATCATTGTAATAGGCTATGTACCCCTGTCCTCACTGGAAAAGAAGGATGTCACCAACATTGCAGATGTAAAAGAGTTCAATGTGGTTACAACTGAAGGTCAGTCAACTATCCTATTCTCCCTAGGGACGTCATCATCCTTTCATGTGGTATTGTAAAATGCATCCCTGTTCTCTGCTCCTAAAACTTTGTAAAACCTAGTTCTCACCTGTCTTAGTTAGGGTTTCTTATTGATGTGAAGAGACACCATGACCATGGCAACTTTTATAAAGAAAACATTTAATCTGGGTGGGCAGTTTCAGAGGTTTAGTCCATTATCATCATGCCAGGGAGCATGGTGGCATGAAGGCAGATGTGGTGCTGGAGCTGAGAGTGCTACATCTTCCAGGAACAGGAAATTGACTGACTTGACACACTGAGTGAAGCTTGAGAAAAGAGCCCTCAAAGCCAGCCCCCCACAGTGACACTCTTCCTCCAACAAGGCCACACCTCCTAATAGTGCCACTCCCTTGGGGGCCATTTTCTTTCAAACCACCAAAATCGCCCAAGTGAAGGGATTACCATGCTGCTGCAAATAGAAGGCCACACCTTAGTGTACAGATTCAGATTTCTGTTCACAACCATTTTAAAATTCTTTATTCACCTACAAGGCACTTTAGGTCATGAATAAAGTTCCCACTCATGCTACACATTTATCTTTTAAAAGTAATTTAACCTGTGTGTATGTTGCTTGTGTGCCATGGTAGGCATGTGAAGGTCAGAGATAATTTGTAAAAATCTTCCTCTGCTTCCACCATCTGGGTTTGTAGTCACATTAAAAATACTATTTCAAGGCTGTAAAAGAAAAGACATTGGAAAGAACAGAATCAAGGGCAGACCACACACACACACACACACACACACACACACACACACACACCCCAGATGTAACACCATGATACCTAGAAAACAAGTAGAAAAAGAAATCTTGGCAAGCCTACCAGGAATATGAGCCCAACCATACTTTGGACTATCATCGTCTTCTCTTCTGCTTGTTCTCTGAAGCAGGGCTCATCAGGCCATTGCTAAAATTTCTGTACTTATTTAAAAGTGGAAGTGTTGGGGAAGCATGATTTTAAGGATCCAAGATCAATACATAGACCTATTGTTCATTCACAATATTAAAAATTGGACCACCAGATATTCTGTGTTCTTAGATGTGCCATATGAGAAATGCATACCACCACCTACAAGGTGCCTGTAAAATCAAGCCTGACCTTGAACTACTATTGTAGTAGAATGAGTCAAATCTGGATATGCATAAAAAAGTAAGAGAAAAAACCAATTATGAGAAATTGTTAATAATTAAGATAACTTGAGGAGACATAATGGCCAAATATAATGTAAATTATCATCTCAACAAATCTGTGATGAAACATTTCTAGATAATTAGAGAAATGCAGGTATGAAATCTATATTAAATGTTACTAAGAACTGTGGTGATAGAAACTAGGTAAAAACAAGCAGACAAGTTGGTAGACAAATTCTTACAGTCAGGCAGGTTGTGATGGCCTAAGCACTATATCACTGGGCCAGTTAATTCCTTGTGTCAGGCTTGTTCCACTGTGGCAGGCCTATGCAATGCCATTCTTGGCTCCCACATACTGGGTACAGCAGCTGCTTTTCTCCACCTCACTGAGCCCAGCATCATGTGTTCACAGAGAAACAGTCTTTAGAAGCTGCACTCTTCCTCCTAACTTAAGACTGGGTGAAAGTGTAAAATTCCATTTTTATAATTGCATCTCTTTATCTCTCCATGGGAATCCCTGTTAAAACGCAGAGGTTAAATGTAGTGGCGTGGCATTCAGACTCCAGAGAAGTAGAAGCCTGAAGTAAATGCTATAGGGTGAGTCCAGAGGACCAGGGACCTCCTGGGGTGTGCAGGGTGAAGCACCATTTGCAGGGAAAAGAGGGGCACCAAAAAGAAAAAAAAAATAGAAAGTTAAAGTTTTTTGATAACTATTTCAAAATATGACTGAAAAGTTCATTCCAAGCCATAGAGTCACCAAAGTGAGGTAATAGAAGAGAAGTTTCCAGACACAGATGTGAAATTAGTGTGAAGCAGCCTCCTTTGCTACGATGGCTGTGATGACTTTGGAAGGGAAATCATCAGATTCATGCAGATCCTCTCATTCCAAAGGCTGCAAGAGACACAATGTTCATGGCCTGCTCAAAATGGAGGCAACAAAACGACTGACACAGGAGGGTTTAGTGCTCTGGTTTGCCAGAGAAGTGAAATTTCTTTCAGTGGCATGGAGGGAGGCTTCTGGAGAGAGATTGGAGGAAGAAAACAGAGAGATGAGTAGGAGGTTTAGCAGAGAGGGGGGAAAGAGATGGAGGAGAGAGGAGAGAGTTGGTAGAGATTTTAAGAGAAACTGGCTCATTCTGTGATGGGGTCTAGCAAGTTCACAATCTCCCGATTTATCTGGGAGATGGAGGGAGCGGGGATAAATTAATGCTGCAAGTGGCCTGCCGAGAGAATCCCTGGAACCTCAGGAAACAGGGCTCTTCTTATGGTGAGGCTTTCAACTGATCCCACGAGG